TAGATATTGGGGTTACTGCCTTGTTTACGGATGAAGGAAATATATGCTAAAAAGTTCGAAACGTACGTGAATTTGGTATATTAGGAAGGGAGAGAGCTGGAAATCTGAAATTTGGTAATATGATCACTTTTTATACCCTACAAAACTAATAATGTAACACCTCGAAATATTGGTCTCCCACATAGGAAAGTATATGTGGATCTTTCTATCCCGCCGAGCTGAGTCCGTCCGTCCGTCTGTACATGTTAATTTTAAATCAGTCTACAGGTCACAATTATGGCCCGATCTTCACGAAATTTAGAATGGAGGTGGGGCTAGGGCCAGAATAGAAGCCTATTGCTTTAGGGGATGACCGCATAATATTTAGGGTTTGAAATTGACCACAAACTGAAAAATTTTCTGATTTTTTAGTTGCTCTACAGATCACAATTATAAACCAATCGAAGCGGAAGGTAACATGGGACTAGAGCTAAGGGCTGCGCGTAAGCATATTTTTTATCGCATGCGATTTTTTTCAATTTGACTTTTAATATTGAGGTGTATATTTCGTAATAGTTTTTCACCTTACAACACAGGTTGGGGTTATTATATACATATTGCAATTATCGTCCGATCCTCACGAAATTTCTCAAGGGTAGGATTAGGCTCAGAAGGGCTAGGCCTTTTGTTTTTAAAGATGTCCGCAATATATTAAAGGTTTGAAATGGACCAACAACTAAAAATTTTCCTGATTTTGCAGCCGTTATAAAGATCACAAATAGAAACCAAGGGACACGAATACCAGCATTACTTACAGGCGATATCCGAAATGCAAAATAGGCGAACTTTTGGCTTTTTTATGCTGATTCCGTTGACGAATATAGTCAAAAATGGTAGACAAGCAAATCATATATATGAGTCTAAATTTGGAGATACAGAGGGGCCTCTTGCTTTTGAGATGATCGCAAAATATTGAACCAAAAACAGAAAAAAATTTCTGATCACACAAGTGAAGCCAATCGACACGCCTGAGAAGAGAGTTAAGGGCAGGGAAGAAGTCTGGAATTTTTTGGATGACCATTGCTGCTGCTAGTCAGCAATTGTCATCAAAAATGCCAGAATTCTTCCCTGCCCTTAACTCTCTTCTCAGAATATCGTAAATATTGGCAAATGTCCCTGGTCAAAACTAACAGCACGACGGAGGGGGAGTTTTGTAGGGTATAACTTGGTCGGGCACGTACTACTATGGTCTTTTCTTACTTCTTGTGAGATGGGGTTGATATATGGAGGTGGATTTTGAAAAACGTATCAAAGATTACAAAAAGTACTAAATGGTATTAAATTTGGTATTTAGGGAAGGGATAGAGCAGGACATCTTAAATATGGAACAAGGGCCTTCCTGCTGTGTAAGTTTAGCAAATATACATTAATAGACAGTAAGGCTAATAAAAGAAAGTGATTTTTCAAGTGATAAAATCACAAAAATGGCAGTAGCATATAGTATGACCCTTATAAAGTGACACTCCCGAATTTTCTGTGTTTTGAAAGATTCAGTCAGATTTGTTTTCATCACAGGACATATCGGTTTTAAAGTAAAACTTATATGCTAAAAGTTGTACTTGTACTTGTATCAAAAATTGGATATTTTTTATCGTATCTCAACAACATTTCAAAATTATTATAATTATAATAAAATTATTTCAAGTATAATTTTTAACATAAAAAATCTTACGAAACCACTAAAATTAAGCAGTTATAAGCAATTTCAAATATTTCTTACTTTAAATACGGTTAAAAGGACAACTTCAATACCCCCCAATATCTCTAACAGAAAATCCCTCACAATTTAAAAATTTTTAATAAAATTATTTTAAATCAAATTTCTAATACGAAAATTTCTTAAGGAAATAAGAAAATTGTGTTTTGGTTTTCCCTGCTCTTCAACAATAACTCCCTTTTTATTTATATATTTAATATTTCTAAACCGCCCATTTGCTGTTAGCGGTTTTGGTTTCATGTCGAATCTTTTTGCTTTCATTTTTCCTGCCAATTTCATTTTTTTATTCTCAATTTTCCCTAGGGGCTTATGTGGTTCGTAAAAAGAACAAAAAAATAAAAAAAAACACAACACACAAAACAACAAAGAAATCGAATGCTAAAATGGAAAAAAGAAAAACCTGCAAAATATTGACATGTTCAAGAACCAAAACTGACACATTTAACGATATGTTAAGACTCGTTGCCAGCCTGAAGACACAGGAACGACAGAAAACAAAATCTCAACTTGGAATGTGGATATGCCATAATGTAAAAGGTTTACCGTTGAAAAGGATGTTGGGGAATGGAATAGACTGAAAGAACTGAGAAAGAAAATAAAACCAAAAAAAAAAATGTTAGGTGGAAATGCCAACAATTTGAAGGCAATCGAATCAGCAGCAGCAAAGAAAATGAAAAACAATTGTCGTGACTTTTCTTTTGCTGCGAGAATTTTATGCAAATATTGAAATGTAAACGTTTACCAATCCTAAAGATATTTTTTTTTTTTTTTTCATTCATTTTATGAAGGTAAAAAATATTTTGTGTGGCAAAAGTCAAATATAAATTGGCCCACATATTTAGGATTATAATCTATATTTGGCCTCAAGAGGTGCTGTTGTGGTTGGATATGGGGGTATGATATTAAGGATGGGGTTGTAGTTCCTAGAAAATAGATGAAGACAACTTTAATGTCTTAGATGTTACCTTGGGTTAAATTTATGTTCTAGGAAAATGTGAAATGAAAATGGAAATATGATAAAATATGAAATGTCATAAAAGGAAAATCTCTCCGTTTTTCGGGGTATGAAATGTGTGATACAAACTATATTTTAAGTTTAATATAACTGTACGTATTCCATGTAATTAACTTATTAAAAAGAGGAGGAATCTGTCAGAGGTCAATTAAAATTCGAGGGCTAGGCGATCAAAGATCAAAAAAAGTTATTCTTTAGGTATATATCCATACAAAGGTCAAGAGGAACTAAACAGACTCATAAATATCTCTAAGTTTCTTTCATTCGTCTATTGGCTATCTTTTCTAAAGGCGATCATCTTTCCTCCAAAGACAAGGGCCTGGAGGTATTCTTCCCTATATCGATGACCTCGAGGCAATCTTCTCTATAAAGATGGGGGACATCTTCTCTATTTAGATGACCTGCAAGTTATCTTCTCTACGCAGATGACATGGAGATCGTCTTTTCTATGTAGATAATCTGGAAGTAATTTTCTTCATAAGTTTCTTTTAGTCATCTATCGGCCATATTTTCTATAGTTGAAGGTCATCTCCTCCAAAGACTATGACCTGTAGTTATTCTTCTCCAAAGACAATGACATCGAGTCAATCTTCTCTATATAGATGACCTAGAGGTAATCTTCTCTATGTAGATGACCTGGAAGCCATCTTCTCAATGCTGATGACCTGGTGATCATCTTCTCTATATAGATAACCTAGAAATCATTTTTCCATACAGATGACCTAAAGGTCATTTTTGCTATATAGATGACGTGCCGGCCATATTCTCTTTATAACTGACGTGGAGGTGCTCAAGAGGTTAACTGCAGGTCATCTTCTCGGTAGATAAACTGAATGTCATCTTCTCAAGAGATGATATATATGATATATATAATGATGATATATATATATATATATATATATATATATATATATATATATATATATATATATATATATATATATATATATATATATATATATATATATATATATATATATATATATATATATATATATATATATATATACATATATATATATATATATATATATATATATATATATATATGATGCTCAATATAGAACCTGGAGATGACTAGAGATTATTTGCTCAAGAGACGACTTGGAGGACATCTGCTCCAGAAATAACAGGAAGTCGTCTTCTCCATAGATGTCCTGGGGTCTTCTCTGTATATGACCTGGGGTCTTCTCTATAGATGTGACCTAAAGGTTTGACCTAGTCTTCTCTATAGATGTTACTTTAAGGTCATCTCTATTAATGATATAGAGGTCTTCTCTTTATACGACTAGCATGTCCTATTCTCCAAATGGCATCGAGATCTTCCCCTAAATGTCCTATATGCCTTCTCTTTGTTCTCGTCTCGATTTGTCTCGGTGGTCTTTTTTTATACGACTTTAAAGTTTTTCCTCTAAATTAAATCGAGATTTTCTCCCTAAAAGAGCTGGAGTTATCTTCTTGATTTGTCCCGAAGGTCTTCTCTCTAGGTGACCTGTGGGTAATTAATATCTATAACTGGAGGTCTTCCCTATACATATTTTCCCTATAGAGTATCGCAGGCCATCTTAATTCTATGTCGATGACTTCGTGAACTTATTTAGACAAAACTATCTAACGTGGTGATTTCAAAAATTTGTTCAGGGTCTTGTTTCTAAAATTGATTCTTAAAAGTTTTTTTTCAGCGCAGATAGAAGGTCAATCAAAATTGAGATAGATTAAGCCTGAATTCCGCTTGTAAGAAAATTAATGGAAATTCAAATATATTTCATTACAGTTCAGGCGATCAAAGACCTACTCAAATTGACATACAAATGTATATACATGTATATGTTGGTCAAATGTCAGTCAGAACGAACGCAAATTATTTTTGTCAGGGTATTTTAGTCTCACTTATTAAACGTGGGGCTAAAAATATGTTAAGGATATATTTTAAGGCGCTAGGTATTTGTATCCACAAGAGATCCTATTTTACACATCGTATTTTGCAATTTCAAATTCTTATCTTTGTATCAAAATGTTTTATATTTTGTATTTTCAAACCTTAGAAGCTCTTTAAATATCACCCTGACAACATTTTCTTATCTTAGCTCTATTTTTTAACTTAAATGTCTCTCTTCCATTTCAAATTGTGTTACCTCGCTTATTCTTTCGCAGTACAAGACTAAAGTATTTCTCAACACAACAAAGGCAAGAACAAAAAAGCCAGAACAAAAATCCTTGAATACTTACCAGCCACTTGTAGTGTCGCATTACGTGAACGTGCAACTCCCAGTTCATTTTTAGCTTCACACCAATACACGCCCGCATCCGTTTCGCGACGTGAGTTCACCACCTAAAGATTTCAATTTTTGTGTTTCATTTTTTTGGCAATCACGAGCAGGGCAAAGAGGAAGGAAAAGGGAGAAAAGAAGAAGAAGAAAAAAAATTAAATAAATAAAAATATTTTTCCATTAAAGTTAAAGGTTTTCCTTCCTTACAGTTACAGAGCAGGGTTGGCGAATATATATTCAATAAAAGACACAAGTGCAAAGCGTAATGGATGAAATAAGGAGGAAATATTGTAATTTTCCCCCTTTCACAAGTAAATGGTAAATGCATAAATTTTGGGTTGTTGTTGTTCCCGCTGTTGTTGTTGTTGTTTTCGTGGGTAATATTTATTTTGTGTTATAACCTTGCAGGAGCAATACGTGAATCTATCTAATCGCTCGAGTGGGTGTCTTCGTTGTATTTTCCTCGAACGTTTTCCTCATATCGAAAAAGGGTATCTTATTGATGGCTTATGCCATGCATAACAAATTAGAATAAATCAGTTTAATGTATTGCGATTTGTATTCGCTACATTTTGTGTCAATTTTATCCATTGGTCCTTTTTTCCATTTCGCTCCCTTCTTTGGGCAAATGAATGGCAACATTTGGATATGTTGTTAATATATTTTTTTTCGTTTTTTGAGGGTAGAGCGAGAAAATAATTTTCATTTTTATTTAATGATATTTTTGTTGAGAAATTGGATTTTGCGAAGAAGGGATATATATATTTATGATTTAATGGGAAATATTATCTTGATACATAAAAATATATATTAATATACATATGAAAAAAAATGATGCTATTACTCTTGTCTTAGAAAAAATTTGAAAAACTTGAACATATTTTCCTTGAAATTATTAGAAAAAAGGTGAACGCATTTTCCATGAGATTTACTTCAAAAAAAAAAAAGGAAAAAACATTTAATCATTTAAATTACTTGGTATCTTTGCCAGCAATCTATGTTAAGACCAAACTTGTGCTTATAGAGAAGACATAAGAAAATTTATTGAGAATTTATTTTGAAATACATTTTTTATACCCATACAGTTTATTGGAAAACAGTTGGGAACTATGCCTAAACGTTGATCAATATAGCCTTCTTCAATACCAAACATCCTTGGCAAACGGGTTTACATAAAACTTTAAGCTTTCAATATACTACGACTTGAAGTTTTATGGGGTCTCTGACAAATATTTCGGTTTGTTGCAAACGGGAAAAGTAAAATTCCATACTTTTTGAATGGAATATTTTTTTGATACATAAAATTACAAGGGACTTGTTTGGGTATTGGAGCCAATTCCTTTGAAGTCAGGATGTATTGCAGTATGGTCGTTTAGTGGTGGTGGTCCTACATTCAATATTTTTATATTCCAATTTTTAATTATTGTGGATTTGGTCGGAAATTGGAGATGAAACCTTCAAAGTACTGAAAATTTTCAGCAAAAATCTATATAAAAATTTAGACCCATATTAATAATTTTTCGATACAAAAATTTGGTAAAATTTGACCTAATTGTAGAAAAAATACTTAAAAACGGGGTTTACATTTGTAACATTGAGAAGGAAGAGATAGACCTATAACTACTTTTGATGATCTGCATAGAATCGCATTCTGAGTCGATTTCTGCATTTCCGTCCATCTGTCCGTCCGTCTGTCCATGTACTTTGTTTAAACAAAGTAAAGGTACCCATCAATACGAAGGAACGAACCCTATTGAAATTGATAAACAGCCAAAATTTAGATATAGTTCCCATATACATGGTGATATGAAAAAACTACAACCAATTTCAGACTGCTGTCATTTCTGCCGGACGAGTCAGCTGTTAAATGTATTCCAGTGACAACCCATTATATTGTTTACAGGCGTTCTAAAGCATTTTAATGAGAAATTCCAAAAAAAAAAAAACTTATTCGCGATGGAATTCTAGCCTGATAGTGTGATTTCTTTATATTTGGCTGGAAAACCACAAGTGGCTATCGTTAGAGCACTCCGGCATTTAAATGTGAACAATTATTCTGTGTCTCGTACCATTGCTCGTTACCGTGATACTGGTAGGGTAGCCCGACGGCAAGAAAGTGGACGGAAGAAAACAGCAACGTCAGCAGAAATGATTCGAAAAGTAAAGAAGAGACTTGATCGAAACCCGCGTCGCAGTGGCCGAAAAATTTCTCGTAAGCTGAACATATCGCAATATTCCATTCGGCAAATTTTAAATAAAGCTAGCGGTGATGCCATTGAAATTCCAAACAGTGCAAGAACATACACCGCAACAGAAAGAAAATAGACTCAAGAGAGCTAATGAGTTGCTTCGCTTGGCCGAAAGTGGTGAACTGCCAAATTTTTATTTCTCCGATGAGAAAACATTCGTTGTCCAGCAGTTTTTAAACAAACAAAATGATCGTGTTTACTTGCCAAAGAGGTCAGCTGAAAATGGGCACCTTCAGTTGGCCACCAGAACTCATGCACCTGCAATGGTGATGGTATGGGCTGCCATAACTGCCGATGGTCGCTCTCCGCTGGTATAGTTTGACCGTGGCATCGGAATAAATGCCGAATATTATCGCGAAAATATTCTGGAGGATGTATTAAAGCCTTGGACACGCAAACATTTTGGCCGCAGACCTTGGACATTCTAACAGGACTCAACAACATCGCACTCAGCACGCGCCATACAAGAACGATTACGAAATTAGGTTCCTCGCTTAATTTCCTGCCCACAATGACCACCAAAATCTCCCGATACCAATCAGTTGGACTATTGTGCCTGGAGTATTTTGGAAATAAATGTTGGCAATGTGTCGATCACCTCAAGCAAGCGTTTCGCCGGGAATGGGCCAAAATGCCACAGAGCAACATTCCGGCAGCATGTGACGGTTTCATTGGCCGTTTGAAGGTCATAATTAGATTTAAAAAAAGGTACAAATTATGGCGTTTGACTTAATTGCGGTTTTTTATCTTGTAGCTAGGCGACTGAGACTTAACAACACTTTTTTTTTTGAACAACTTGCAAAGATCCCCCTTTGGCAACCAAAACCTGTTCATATTCCAATTTTAAATGCATATTTTGCATATTTTGTCACAAGTCGTTCCTTAATACCTCTCACATGTTTAAGTGAAAACATTTGAATATCTCTGCGCTGAACATATTGTCTTAAGAAAATCCGCCCTTTTTGAGAAACATTTAGCAAGAATAACACAAAATGTATGAAAGGGAAGAAAAATAATGGTAATTTTCGTAAGAGCAACATATGTGAAAAATTTAACTACGATTTTATACACTACCATATGGACTTCATCTCTTTTGTGAAATGGTAATATACGTAAAAATATCCTTGAATACAAAAAAATATATTTTAGGCATGAGTGTTTCATGCACGAAACATACACATGATGATAGTAACAAGTTTCGCAAAAAGGAAATCAAATTCTTGGAATAATATTTGGACTGCATTAGATTTGTAGGAAAAAAAATTATATTTATAATGATACCGCTATTGGTCTATGGTGCTATTTTAGAGAATCACACTAGAAGTGGTACTGAAATGAAAATTAAAAAAAAATGTTTAAAATATAATATTGCTATTGAAGATGATGTCAGGGCTCCTGCCCTTTATATTCGATTTTTTACAACATTATTTCTTTGTTTCGTAGGGGCTGCAATAGCAAAAGAAAATAAATCAATATCGACCGTCATTTAAGATTCCAAAGAAGATGTTCAAATGCTGAGCAAAATTATGAAATAATTTATAAATAATTTTAAAAAATTAACATTGAAGTTATAACATATATCAATTATTTTTCAAAATGCAACTCTTCCAGTGTTACCCTAATATCCATTCAATAATGTATGCATGCCTGCACACATACTATTTGACATGACATGTCACACAGACAATTGTACTAACTAAATTTGGTGCTGCCATATGGAAAAATCAAATAGAATTATACAGATGTGTATATTATTTTACCCTATGGCAATATTTCATTTTCAATTGACAGACCCGAACACACACACACATTCACACACACAAATATATAGAGGCCAAAAGATATTCATTCTCACTGTCGACATACAACGATTGGCATTCTTAAGCTGGCATTAGACTATGATGATACCAGGCAGATACAGACACAGATAGATAGAAATAGTCATAGTCAAATTGGGAATACCATTGGGAATTGAATTGAAATGTGAGTGTGTGTGTTCGTGTTTTCGTCCTTGTGTATTCGAAGTTGAGAAAATGTAATTGTGGCTTTTTGCTACATTATTTGCGTTTATCTTAACATTTATGTCACTTGTCTTAAAGACGACACAACGGCAAAAAGGAAATGACTTTTTCGGATTTTCAAATGAAGATTTATGTGAACAGGGGTCTTAAAGTGATTGAATATTGAGTATTGTGGGAAATAATATGGAAATTTTAGAGAAGAATTTCAAATTTGTATTTATTTATTTTTTTTGTTTTGTTTTTTTTTTTTAATTTAATGCTTAGCATCGTAAAAGTAAACAAATTGTTTAAAAATAGATGAGAGTGTGAAAGCTGTGGACTTCAAGAGAGGGCAGATACTATTTATATATTATACACCACATAGTGGTAAGGGTATTATGTTTTTGTTCATTTATTTGCAATATGGAGAAGGATACGATATAGACCCATAGTTCCTTTTTATGATCTGCATAGAATCGCATTTTGAGTCGATTTATGCATATCCGTCCATCCGTCTGTCTGTCCATGTATTTTTGTACACAAAGTACAGGTCGCTCCAGATGGAATTTGGCACAAGTAATTTGTTTCACCCAATGACGAACCCTATTGAAATTGGAGATTGTCGGTCAAAATTTAGATATACAGGGTTGCCCATATTCGACGGACCTATCTGGCAACGCCATAACTTTTGACAGAGATGTCACATCGCTTAATAACATACCGCGTTTGAAGCGTCAGTCCAAGCAGATTTTTACCATGAACCAATACACGCCACGCAAGCCCTCTGAAAGAGTCATCGAAATGACCGAAGAT